AGCCCAGACTACTATACCCTGCAAAACTCTCTTTCAAGTTTGATGGAGAAGTGAAATACTTCCATGACAAAGAACAACTACAGAATTTCATGATGACAAAGCCAACCCTACCCAGGCTACTGAAAGATGTTCTAGAGAGGGACCAAAATGATCAGAACTCTACGAATCAGAACAGAAGCAACCAACTAAATAGGGCAAGCAATTAAACACAGAAGAAAAAGGAGTAAAGTTAATGTTTTAGTTGCCTTCCTCTCACTGCTGAGACAAAGTACTCAGACTCCTGAAGCTAATGGGGAAAAGATTTATTTGGCTCACTTCTTGTAGAGGTTTCAGTCCATGGTCGGTTGGCTGTATGGCTGGGTGGTGTGGCAGAGCAGCATCGTAGAGGAGAAAGGCCATGGTGGGTAGAAGTAGCCAAGCAACAAGGCCAAGCGAGGCTCTTTCTGTCCCTTCTGTCTCACGCAGGCTCCTCAGGCAGGCAGCACTCACACCCTTAGCCCTGAGCCCTTGGTCCTAATATGGCACCATGGATCCATCCCAGAAGAGCACACTCTAGATTCAGCCAAATGTAAACGAACATCTAAATTACCAGGTGGATTTTAAAACATGTTGCTTTCCTGAGAGTCTGGACTTCAAAACTCTTTTGCCTGTATAAGAGCATCGAACGGTTGATATGCCAGGTGAGAGCTGACTGACGCTACTTCCATCTCCTCTAATACCTCGCCTGGCCTCCCTGAAGGAGCTCTCTAGGCCATAAGCCTGGGCCCACCCCAGTTCTGTGGTTTACTAACTGGCATTCTTTAACTGTCCTGAGCTTTGCTTTTCTCATTTAAAAATAATGAAAGCAGCAAGATCTTCCTCCTTGTCTTATTTTCTCATTGCTGAGACAAAATACCCAACACCCAAAGTTAATGGAGGAAAAACATTTTCCAGGCCACAGTTTGTAGAGTTTCAGTCCATAGTCAGCTGGCTCTAAGGCAGAGCAGCATGCAGAGGCGTATCACAGAGGAGAAATAGTGCATGGGGAGGCAGGAAGAAGGCAGGGTGCAGCAAGCAGCAAGCATGCACAGCAAGGCAAACCTCCCTTCTCCTTCTATCCCACCCAGGCTACAAGCCGCCCAATGTGGACCCTGCCATTATCCATACCCAGAACTATGCTAAGCCAATCAGTGGAGTAATCACGCACCCTTAATCCCAAATCAGTGGTGCCAAACCTACAGCTTGCACGTTGTTTTTCTTCTAAGACAAAAGATATTAATGCATTAGTTATGTTTTTTTAAACTAAACCCTGAGAGTTCAGGTTTAACTGCAGCATTTACATTCTGAAATAAATAAATGGGTTCTGGGCTGTAGTTTGGGCACTCATCTCTAAAAGGTTTGCCATCACTGCCCTAAATCCAGCTAGCTCTAAGAAGCCCCAGCTCTGAGTATGAGGCTTTGGGGGACATCAGTAACACTCAAGAAGTCATTGTACAGATTAAGTGAGATTTCTGCATGGCCTACAACTGTGGACCACAAGGTGGGTGTTCAATAACGTCAATAAAAGATGTTAAAGTATACATAAACAACTCTTTGTAAATTAGAAAGTACTGTACAAAATCAAGATATTAGCTTTATGTTTATTACTTAACCTATGAGTTTCTGTCTTATTCCCTAGTTCTTCATGTAATTATTCACTACCAAAAGTTACGGTTGAGTCATCACAAATTTTGGCTGTGCAGGTGATAAGACCTGCTGTGCTTTTAGCAGAGCCGTTGGACAGGTAAAGGGGTGGAGGGAGGGATTCTGTCCCAAGTCTCTCAGGCTGCAACCTGGCAAAAGGCCCAGGGCCTAAAGGATGTGGGTGCCCCCCACCCCGGCAGAAGGACCTCTGGGATGGCCAGGCCCTGGCTGCCTTGGGCAGGACAACCTGGACCACTCTGGCTCCACCCCTCTGACTCACATTGCTGTCTTCCATCCTCACACCAGCTTCTGGGTGCATGCCCTGTGGTGTGTCACTGATGCGTCTCCCACCCTGTGACCCTACCACGCAGTTCTCAGATGCATGAACTACCTGTCACCTTGGAGTCCCCTTCACGGCCAGATCACTGAACAGGTATCTGCTAAGGTCCGTCCAGCACCGTCTTACTGCCTGCCATGGCGCAGCTCTGGCACATCCTCCCAAAGTCCTGCGTGTCCAGGGGGAGGCTCGTGGCAGGTAACTGGATCGCTGAGGCTGTACTCAGCGCACTGACCGGGTCAGAGCTCAGTGCGCTCCCAGGACGCGGGGCCTGCTTAGAGGCGGGTCACTGGGGGAGCAAAAGGCATCCTCAGCCCCAGCTCTTCCCTGCTCTCCTCCCCAGATGCCACATGGGGTCAGTCTTATTCAGCCACCCTTTCCTGCCACATATTTCTGCCCTACAGCCAACCAGCCATGGACGGAACCTCTGAAAACTGAGCCAAGACAAACTTCTCTTTCGGCTGTGGGTAGTCAGGTGTTTTGTAGTTCTCAGTGGTGGGAAAGTGACTAACACACTGACCTGATCCAGGTCCTTATCCACGCTTTCTGGACAATTGTGACACCTCAGGCTGGGTTGCCTCTTGCTGGGGTCTCCCCCACTACCCACCCTGTGTGAGAAGACAATGGGCCACATTCCACTGGCCCACGAACAGTCATGGCCTCTGATTTGACTTGTTTGTTGAATGTATTTCATATTTTAATTACATTAGCTGCCAATATTTAAAACCATTAGGATGCACAGTCTAATCCTCATTCATGTTTCCAGTTTTCTAGAAAAGTAGAAGATCAGGCACTGTGGGACCCATATGCCCTCATGAAAACTCTCAGCTGGAGCTGGGGGTAACTGCCTCTTTGATGGGGACACATGGCCATTTCTCCCAGCCTCCTGATGCCCAATGCCTCACCCGAGACCCCTATTTTAACTTGTCTATAGGTAACCAGGAGGACAGACCAACCTGCACCCTGGTCAGTCATTCCTGTGTGGAAGATCAAACCAAATTCATGAGCACAGCCTGAAAAGCACCCTGACCTGGCCAGTGCCCACCTCACCTGCCACCCTGATAGTGATCCGTCTGGGATGGTACCAGACGGGCCTTTTCTCCACACAGAGCATGCTCCAGGCTTACTCATCAGGGCTTCTGGGTTCATTATTTAAGATCCAGCCCAGTGATACCATCTTTCCTGAGCTTTCCATATATCTTAGCTTCTAAGCAACCTCTACTTGTTGTTATTGTTGCTACTGATTATGGGTCTCACTATGCAGCACAGGCTAGCTTTAAACTCACTCTGTATCCCTAACTGGCTTCAAACTCACGGTCATCCTCCTGCCTCAGCCTCCCAAGTGCTGGGCTCACAAGTGTCCACCACCATGCCCCCTAAACTCTCTTTTAACACTCAAGTTATAGGAAGGGATGTGTGTATCTCGAGAGTTCTCCAGGGCAGGGACCAGCCCCATCTGGACAGCTGACACAACAGCAAGTGCTCTGACTCCAGGACTGAGGAAAGACAAGAAAGCCTCTGACAACAGCAGCTCATCTTTTTATATTTTCAAAAGGTTTAGGCCTTAGTTTAAAACCTAAGAGAGGGCTGACCAGATAGCTCAGCAGACTAAAGCACCTGCTTAAGCAGGCACAGGGACCAGGGTTCAATCCCGGGCCCCACATGCAATGCTGGCCCCACCCCTGTGGTGCAGTGTGACAGCGAATGAGACTGGGCGTGGTGGCATGTGCCTGTAATTCTAGCACTTGGGAGGCTAAAAACAAGAGGATCACTATGAGTCCAATCTGTGTATGAGACCCTATAGACCCTGTACTAAATACATAAAAAAAATAAACAAATAAAAAATAAAACCTAAGGGAAAAGAAAGCCCTTAATACAGTGGATTGAAGAATGCCTTCACTCACTTATGATCCTTTTTTCCTTCTCAGAAATCTTTATCTTTTTTTTTCATAATTTTATTGATAGACAAATAGCAATGAGACAGTTTCAAATCAAATAGAAATCTTTATCTTATAAGGACAACTAATAGCATGAAAGCAGTCTTTGGCTCTAATGAAAGGAAATCCAGAATAGTAGAAATTGTAGGTGGTCCAGAGCCCAAGTAATGTTACTACTGACTTTAGTAAAGTTTGAGTGAGCTCTAACTACCTAGTACCTAGCAACTGAGGTATACCTCAGAAAGATTTTATTGCAGATTAGAAATGGAGATGGGATCAACTGCTTGGAGCTCTTTTCTCTTTTGCTCTGAGTAAAATCTCCAGGGGCCGGGGAGATGGCTCAGTGGAGTAAGTGCTTCCCTGGCAAGTGCAAAGGCATCTCCAGATTAAACATAGTTAATTCTGAGATCAAATATGATGTGCGCAAAAAAATCTCCCAACCAGTAAATAAAACCAGAGCTCAGCAATGCAAATTTCCTGGGAACAGAACCAATACATACCGTTTCAGATAACTCAGTATTTTCAGGACATAGGGCAGACTTGGGGAGCAGAGGAGCAGGAGCGTCACGGCACAGGCGCACTGAGGCGCTGCCACGCCGGCGTAGATCAGCACCAGGGAGAGCAGCTGCAGCGTCCACTGCAGGAGAGTTCTGCTCTTGCCGTCCACAAGGGGCCCATGTTTGTAACAGGCAGCAAAGCTTAAAAATCCAACTACCAGGGTATAGCCTGGAAAAGAAAGAGGCATAAACATAGAAATCTGAAACGTCTAAACATGGGAAAGCCTTGACTTAAGGGACATGCTACCAGAAAACCTTTTTCTTGCAATGAAAGTTGAAAAAAATCTTACTTTTACAGATTTTGGTTCATTCCAAGTGCAATACTAGGCAGCCTTCTGTAATAATGTAGGCTCTATCATCATTACGATGACAGCGGAATGCGGTCAAGACACACAGTGGATGTTTGAATTGGAAAATGCATTACAGGAGAAGAAACACTGCCACCGATCCCCCTGGTTCAAACACACCTCTCATCATTCTTTCCAGTTCCTGAAACAGTCCAGGAAGGGCATCTTTGGCGAGTGTCTTTATGAATTGTCATAAAAAAATACACTGAATGTCACTGACAAGTGCCATCCAACAGAAAGAAGGCTCCTGAAGACATGACAGTGTCCTTGGGGCTGGGGAGATGGCTCAGTGGAATAAGTGCTTCCTTGGCAAACACAAGGGCCTGAGATCAATCCCCAGTTCCGCCAAAAAAAAAAAAAAAGACAGCGTCCTCATGATTTGTTCACTGGACCTGCTAAGTGGAACTTCTAGCGCTTCCCAAAGTCGAAACTGCCATGAAAGGGAAGCGTTTCGAATCGCATCAGGACATCTAGGCAGCCATAATTTAAAGACCCCAGTAATTTCTTTACAATTTAAACATTCACTGTATTTTTTGATCTTGTCTCATTTAAGTATGTCTGGTTTTAGTCCAGTGTCCTAGATGGGCAAATGTTAAGGTTGTTGGTCAGAAATAAGTCAAAGTGAATGTCACTGTCTGCTATACACCCTACTTTACATTTTTTTAATTCTTCTAATTACAGATGGGAAACCTAACTGGACAGTGGAGGGACCACATGGTCACCCTGCTGATCCAGAGCTTGGTTCACTGTTACTAACAGTGTGACTCTGTGATACTCTGTGTTTTCAGATGAGCCAAGATGAAGTCCACAGCTCCTCCTATGTACTACACCCAACAGTGACAAATTATGTATCGGCAATCTTGAAGATCTAACTGTCAGTGTACAGAAAGTGTGGGGGAGACGGGTGAGTGAAATTATGCCATGAACAGTCATCAGGTAAATCCAGAAAGTGGGAAGGCTATAAAGTAACTTGCTTGGTCTCTCCAACATACCACCATGATTCAAAAAGAAACTACTACTATGGATTAAGATATTTACAGGACACAATAGGTGCAAACTATCTTTCTACACTACTTACTAGTTTTTTTCAAACCACCCATCAAGCACTACAGGGACATGTGAATATGGCCTGGGTACTAGGTGATTGGTGTAACTATTAATTTTTTAAGATTTAATAGTGGGGTAAGGGCTGTAATCTAGATTGTGCAAACACAAGGCTGTTCCAATCCTCAGCACCACATACAAGGAAAGTTACTTGAAGCCACAGAGAATGTTCTGGTGTTTTAGAGATGCGCAGTGAAGTATGCAGAGGCCCTACCACATCACCTGTAATGTACTTGGAAGCACCTAGCATAAATGAGGGCATGGCTACGGCTGTGGTAGAGTGCGTACAGGGGTGCATGAGGCCTTGGATCCAAGCTGCGGCAGTGCTGGGGCTGGGAGGGTAAAAGCATAACATTTTCAGAAAAAAAATAACTGCTTTTGTTCTAGGGGAGGTATGTTTACCTAGATTCATGTAAAAAAGTTGCTTTGGTAAAATGAAACAAGGTACAGAAATTCTTTTAGCCTCTCTGTTTCTGAAAAGTTAAGTTTTTATATTTAGAATTTCTCACCTTTCATACTGAGTAAATTAAGAAAAAGGAAAATAGTCACATTTTTGAGAAATTTTTACATTACAAGTTACATGTGGTTAAAGCTTAACCACAATTCAGAATCATAAGTAGTCACAGGGACAACTTTTCTTTTCAGTACTGGGGGTAGAACCCCGGGTCTTCACAATGACTATATCTGCAGCCTTTGTCATTTTAAATTTTGATAAGGTCTGCTAAGTCACTGAACTATCCAGGTTGTATTTGAACATGCAATCCTCCTGCCTTGGCCAGTGCTGGGTTTATAATCACACACCACTACCCTTGACCTTTTTTATTCTTCTGGTCATGACTACAGAAAACTAAGAAAGATTGCAGAGAAATAGTTTAAAATGAAGTCTGAACGAAATGAAATCACCAATTATGAGAGTAAAATAAAGAAAAAATGTTAGTTTAATAGCATCTCTCCTAAAATGAAAATTTAGATGCTAGAGAGAAACACGTCCAAAGAAGTCTGCTAGTTGTACTTTCCAGCTTTACCATAATAGAATTCAGTGTTAAAAATATTTACCTACCTAATATATATATTCCGTTTCTGTACCACAGCCATTGCAGCTCTTCCATCAATACGTATATACCATAAACGGAAGCAAACCAACAACCAACCATTAAAGCCAAAAAGGTGCTATACTGTGTGTGGAAGAAAATAAATGACATATTTTTTGGTTTGGTCACTTTTATAGAAGTAGAAGCAAAGAAATACTTTTTGTATTAGAAACTTCTGCATCAAACTGAACTGAAATCAACAGCATCTTGTGAGTGAAGGCACCGGCCCCAGACAGCAGTGTCAGCTCTGCTCTGGGGACTGTGGAAAATGCAGCTCTGCTTGAAGGATTGTGGGAAATTCAGCTCTGCTTGGGGGCTTGTGGGAAATGCAGGTTGGCTTGAAGGACTGTGGGAAATTCAATTCGGATTAGGGGATTGTGGGAAATGAAGTTCTGCTTGGGGGACTGCAGGAAATGCAGGCTCTCCAGCCCCAGCACGGACTGCAGACCAGAATCTGCACCTTCCTAAGATTCCCAGGGCTGGCATGCATGTCACAGTCAGAGAGGCACCACTCAAAGAAACTCATTTACACAAGGTAAATGCTGGTGCTATCAGCACTTTAACAGGTAAATGCAACACTATCATCAGGAATTAATGCACTTTATCTTCAGCTAAATTCAGGACTTTGTTTTATTGAAGGTCTGTTGGATAACTATTTATGAAGTAAACCCCAGAGGTAGTAATGCTGTTAATTCAGGTCCCAAAGATTTAGCATCATGAAATTCCAAAGTTTGCCAAAATGAGAGAAGCTTTTCACTTGCTATAGATACTGTCTCATTAAAAATAAAAACTACCTAGAAAAGTGTTTAAAAATGCATCACTAACACTTAATAACTTGATAAGCCTATATATAATAATATTGAAAAATGGACTCTCCACAAAAAGACAGTTTAAAGTCTGTTTATGTCGTAAGGACCATAAATTGAATTAAGAAATGCAGAACAGGAGCTAGTTTTCCTACCTATGAGGTCATGGTTTGCACATCTGGTTCATCCGCACGTAGGACCCTACCTTTGGGATGTATCTTTTCACCAACAGCAGGATGAAGACTGACGTCATCACTACACCTAGCACAGTCCCTGAGGAGTAATAGAAAATGGGGCTTCTGTCAAGACAAGAAGAGGAAAGCCATTTAATGCTGAGTAGCACCTTCTCTATGGAGCACATACCTTTGATAGGGCAATGGCAGCCATAAAGAACACTATAACAGAAGAACACAGGAAGCAACTCTAATTACGTCTTATACTCTTAAAATTGAAGTCAGCATTTGAAATGAATGGTGAATACAATGTCGCTAACTACAAACTGAAGGCTTAAGCTTCCTTCTCTGTTCAGAACGTGACTGGACAACAACTGAGCACTGGGCCCACAGGGGCCAACTGTCGGAGACCCATACATGTATACATAGTCATCCTGTTTTTTTTTTTTTAATTTTTGTTCTGGGCTTTGAACTTGGGATCTTGCACTTGCCAGGCAGGCACTTACACCACTGAGCTACATCCCCAACCTCTTCTATATTTTATAGACAACATTAAGTCATTAAACTTCGCCAACCCTCAACCCCC